AAATAAAAAAAAACATTGAACAAGTTCAACATTGTCCCCCTTCCACTATCCAGGAAATTAGTTTACAACAAAATGGTAGCCAAGTCTGCTATATTTGATCAGATCAAACAAAGCCAAGAATTTTTTTTGAAAAAAATGCAATCAAATTTTAAATATAAACACATAGACCATATAAAACATGGTGTGTGGGTGATGTGATAAAAAATGTCATGCATGCAGTCAATATTTTATTATATATATTCATCTTTGTAACAATGTATATAATTTATCAATAAAAGTTATCATTATGTATACCTTGTATAAGAAAATTATTGGTATTTGGTATTAACACACGTACAAAGGCACAAATGTTTACAACATTAATCATCTAGCACAAATGTTTTCATTTTTATCAAAGAATTTAATTTATTATGACTCTGCCAGTGAAAATAATGGAATCAAACCTCCAGTCTATCAGACACTGGACAACAGTGTTTTAAAAAAATTGTCATCATTTAATGTTCCGTACTGCTCAGAGAAGAATACCACAATGCAATGCTTTTATCTGATATTCTGGACATCCCTGACAAAACACTGTCAGAAGCATATCAACTTCTAGCATAGGTCAGTCTGGTAGTTACAAAGCGTGACTTCTATTATAGCTCAATCTAGCAGTACTGTGAGTGAGGTGACCTCCACCAAAGGTTAGTTGGTAAACTGTGAGAAAGTGACCCCAACCGTAGGTCAATCTGTTGTCGGAAAATAGCAGCCACACATCAATGCATCTGCTACCATTGTGGGATTCTGTTGCTGAATAAAAATTGTTTTTCACATACTTTTTTGGCAGTATCAACTAAACAAAATCTTCTGAATAAGTATTATGACTCAAAAGAAAATATGAAATTGTTTTGGAGGGTGGTACATAATTCAAATATTATATGCCTTATTTATTAAGTTGCTTCCCACATATGTCTAGGCTTAGTGATTTCTATTTGTATAGGCATTTTACATGACCCCTAAAGGTCACACATCCTGGCATTTTCTGGGGGTTTTGTTCTTCGAGCATTAATTTTCCATTATTATACATCTGTCACGGTAACACCATAAGTTACAGCGTGTCGTAATTTCACAGTATTTTAAAGAGTATTTTCATCTTACCATATTAGGAAATGCGAATTCCAGATATGGAATGATTATGCGCGTAAGGGTCCTCTAATAATAAAAACAAACATGGCAGTCCCCAGGGTTTGAACGGACTCTATACAAAGAAGTTCGCTCAATCTGTTCTAAACTTTTTGTATTACGGCATTCCCATGATGTATCCTTGGGAGAAAAACATGTATAATAATATATAATGAAGATAGTACAGCAGAAGTATTACCCTGCGCAATATACTGTGAATAATAAATATTTCACAAATTGCAAAATAAAAAAGCAACACTTGTCTAGTTTTTTGACGCATTTGTATTTTAGATTGTGCTTAACCTTTTCACCACCAGTTCCCTCTTTTCATCACAAATTCATAAAATAGTTCCATTCATAGTCTGCACTTTCCATAGTCTGCGACAAAAATAGCGACCTTTTTTGGGGTAAAAACTAAAAATTGACTCATTTGCTCCAAAATTAGGGTTCATTTATAGAAATATTGAAAAATATAAGAAAGGTTTGTGTCATCATTTGGTCTTGATACATTCATTTGTGATCAGTTACCAAAAAAATGAATGATCGATTGACAAGTTTACTTTTGTTTTCTGCACATCAACAGTTTCACTTTAATAGTGAAAAGATGTTTTGATTTGTTATTTGACACCTTGGAAAACAGATTATTGGACCATGCCCACTGTCGGCGGCGGTGCCTTTAGTCATGACAATTTGAGCCTTATGAGCTTTAAAGAATCTATTACGAAAATAAATTACTTTGTCTGAAATATCTTTGTAACCATGAAGCATGAAAATTGAACCAATTTGAATTATCAGGTGTCAAGTACAGACTCACAAGATTGAATATCAAAATACCAGTAGCAACAAATATACTGTGATATAGTACACATCGAGTTCCTCACATGCATAATCAGCATATAATAGTATTAAACCAGCTAAGGGGTCATCCATTAGAAATCATGGGGGGTGTCTGGAAAAGTGTTACCAGTGCATTTTTTAGCATTGTCTTATTTGTACAAATTTTTATTTTTCTTGAATGGGCCAACATTTTCCCTGCAAGCTTTGTATGTAATTATTTTTTAAACAAATCTTCCCGTCCAAATGGTCGACCCCTAAACTGTGCTCCTACATATTACATAAGGGTCAACAATTTTTAAATCGTGACTGGAAGAGTGTGACCAGTGCATTTTTTTTCACGTAGTTTTATCTGTACATTTTTATTTATCTTGATTTTGCTAGCATTTTTCCCTGCAACACCAACAATTTGTGTTCAACAAATCTTTCGGCCACCTCCTATGAATTGAAATGGTCGACCCCCTTAAGTACATCGAGTTCGTTTACTCACGTATGGAGTCGTCATAGATACAGCAAGACTTGACATATTTGCAGATCTGTCGCCGATCCAGACGAGGAAGCTTTCGTTCAATTTCAATACATGGAAATGTATGGAATGCTCCATAAGTCGATCAGAGAAGTTGTACACTGACAGCATGCAGTCAGATGGCTCTGTGACAACTACTTTGTTTGGCTTCAGTGCTCATCTTCGAATATTAATTGTTAATCGGGTTTTATTTGCATCAAGCTGAAAACTTCTTGAATAAACGTTAAAAATGCGGATGGAATTCTATTATCTGCATTACGTGATAATACACTATCTCGTCGACGAGGCAACTACACATTATAATCGGAAAACACATGTTACAGAAAGTTGCCATCTTAGTTCACGCTGAACCCCTAGGCACACCGTTATTTCGTACACTTTGACAGATTATATCAAGCAAAACTGGATGTAATAGATTGTTTTTCTCCATGAAGCAACATATTATTATCATAGGACATGTATATTAAATTCCATGTTGAAATAACACCAACTGCCAGATACATGTATTATGATTTAAAGGCAACATCATAATAAACATATGACAATATCGGTTAAATTTAAGGAACTTAGGGGTGTCATCAATGACGTCATTGGTATTTTACAAATTAAAACAAACCCTCTTATGTTTCTAAATGTTGGCTACAGGAAATATAAACTATGAAAAAATACACCAAAGGATGTACTATTTGTAAAATAGAAATTACTGTTTTAAATTGCCCCATCCTCTAATGAATCGCGATGACATCATCGCCCATGGTCACTTGGCACAATACGCCTAAACCACTGTGCTGGTGCCTTGGTGGGTGTGGTAATATAATGGATGTTTGTAATTATAAGCTGAGAAATAGGATGCTGAAAACATTTCGTATCAATTTATTCATAATTTTATCGCTATTCACAATAAACAGAATCGTGTTATTCATGTTGTATTTTAGACGACAACGTATACGACATACAGTGTCTCCCCCATATAGAATGGTATAGCCTGCACAGATTACCATATATAGACAACAGGCGGATGAACATTAGACAGGGTATTACTCGTCTAAGTACTGCGGTTCGTTCAGGGAGGCACGCATCACCATAGTGTTTGACTTGGTCAAAGCGATATAAAATCTCGCGAAAATTTTAGAAGTTCACTGACAATATTTGTAAAAATGCGTGAAATTGTGCACATCCAAGCTGGTCAGTGTGGAAACCAAATTGGCGCTAAGGTGAGTGATAAATACTTGCAGACTACAAATCTGTCACATCACTTCCTCAGCTCTTATTTAAATTAAATGACGAAATAATATTGTGCACTACGTACATGATGTGCAAAAACATTGCCACTTAAAACTTGTTGAACAAGATGTTAAATTTAAAACAACTTTTCGTCTCCCCAGGTTTTCATAAATTGACTGTTCATACGTAATGATTTTTTTCTTAACTGAACTTTCCACTTCTGACATATGATATATCGCCCACACTATCAGATTTTCTTTCCACTGTCTTAATCATAGTATAAAGTGTACGCATCGTTTGATTCAGAAACTTATTCACAAAAACACGAACGTCTGGTTAAAAAATATTTATTTCTCCGCTGAAAATTACCCAAAATATCTTAATTTGAAAATAACTACATTCACTAAGGCCTGGAAACCATTTTGCATGTCGCAACTTTTTTTTCAAAAATCAATTTTGAAAAGAAAAGTACTTTACTTACTAAGTATTTCAGTTCCAATTCAAAAAATTTAAAAAACGTATTCGTACAGCGATTTTGAAAAACAAATTGACCGGTAGAAACTTTCTTATTTCCAGTCCTAAGCCAACTTCGTTATGTCTAGTGAGTTCACAATAATGAATAATACCAGTGACTGTTCAGTCAATAATTTAAGTGCCATTTTATTCTTGTTATCTAGCAGCCTTACTCCATGCAATTTTCCTAAAACACAGATCACTTGCGTGAAGGAATTGTAGCTCTATTGACCTAAGTAACAGGGCAAAAGTCAATTGTGCCATAGATAGTAAGCATTTCTAGGATCTATCATTGTACAGAAACAAGTGCAACCCAATCTTGGTATGCATGATGTGATGTTATCATGGAAAAACTTCAAATCATTGGCCATAAATAAATAAAACACTTTGAGTGACTCGTAAAATACACATTAACTACACAAGCTGATTTGAACAAATGTGACACTCAGTGGCGCCCTGATAGCTGCAGATTTGTATAAAGTTAGCTTTGTTTTGTTTTGTTTTGTTTTTGTTATTTTTCAGGTTTATTTTCCCTTTTACAAAGAAACAAAGTATAACAAGATGCGGGATTCACTCCTGTGTACATGTGACAGGTTATAGAGATGTTTTTGCCTGCATTTCACTAATCATTGCAAATTCAATCAAATCACTATACATAACAAATATGGTCAGAAATATACAATGTAAAAATACAATTGTAATCTTCTGTAATTTTATTCTATTTACTCAAATCAAATGGTTTTGAATTTTGTTACATATGTCTTATGTCTGGGAGGCTGTCACCTAAAAAAAAACATTGAATGAAAGGTTATACATCAATAATAATCAAGGGAAAAGTATGAGTGTTTGTCCAGATGGATATGGTATTCAGAGTTAATTTTTTCCTTTTTTTTAGTTTTGGGAAGTAATTTCTGATGAGCATGGTGTTGACCCAACTGGTACCTACCATGGTGATTCAGACTTACAGCTGGAAAGGATCAATGTATACTACAATGAAGCCACTGGTATGTATTTATTTCTTATGCAGATAGCATGCTGTTGTATCACATCCTGTCTTAACACTAGGTTATTCACCTTTGATATTTTATCCCAAACCACATATTATATATTAAAAGAGTCTATTTTTGTGAAAACAGTGAAGCTAAACAAATTAAAATGGCAGACTAATTATTCCTGTAAATATTAAAGGAGACATTCTGTATAGTAAATACTAGTCAAGATGAATAGTGCCTTAGCCTCTATTTTAGAGCAAAAACCATGGTTGAAATAATTTGAATTTTGAAAAAAGAATTACTGAAGGATGGTTAAAAGGCTTAGTGGTAACAGCTGAATTTAGAAAAACTGGTGTGATGATGATGAAAGAAATATAAATTATTCTAATTTTGCTGATACATTCATGTCTGCTGGCATATAATTATATTATGCTTTCACCAAACCAATGTAAATACTATATAGTAAGTGTGTTATATGAATTTTATTTTGTTTTAATATTGATTTGGTTTATTATCATTTTACAATATTATTGTATTAATGTGTAATAATTTAATTTGATGTACTTCCAGAGAGAAAAGTTAAAAGGCCATGATGAGCTGTGTTTGGCTAATTTGTTTGTATTTGTTAATCAAAGTAATTAAAGTTATCTTTGTGGTACAAAATAAATATAGTTAGGTTAATTGTTACTATGGCGTAAAACAATATCAGCATTGGTAAAGCGATTTTCGCAGACAGTAGAAGTAACTTCGCAATGCCTAGATGTACCATAATACCATAAATTGAGGTATCATTTTTCGAACATTTCAGGTTTTTCGTAGTCACTAATATCTATTGAAGATTACAATGTTTATTGTGATTAGCGTGAATGGGTAAACTCAGCAATGAGCTGTTAGCACTGTAAAAAATGTAAAATATTTTTTCAATGCTAAGTTTATCTTGTGAAACTAATGCATTATTTTTTGTTATCATGTAGAAATACCAACATTTTTTGACTAATTTCTCAACAGTTTGTAGAATTATGGCTATTCACTCTTCCCCAAAGAATAAATTAGAGTGACACCTGACTTATAGAGTTCACGATACTCAGCAGAAAATCTATGGTTTCCCTAAAGTTAATTAATATCTATTTTTTGTTTGAATGATAGGATATGTACACACCTGCCATGTTATGATAATCATTTATGCAGGAAACAGACATTTTGGATTTCCTGACCTGTTCCCTTTTGATTCATTGTTATATTTCCTCACAAATAAAATTTTATACAAAATAGATTTTAATAGTTTCACATGATTCAAAACACAATTCAAAGTTGAACTATTTTCAGAAAATGATTGAACAACATTTAATTTGTGAAACAACAAACATTATTATCATGGTGGTGTTACTGGTGCATGTCATTATGGTTAGCGATTTTATTCATTTTTTTGTTTTTAGAAACGCATTGTTTTATTTGTTTGTTCAATGACATTACGACTAATTTGGTGAAAAACTATTCCTGGACAAGTGTCACTTTTACTGAATAAGGTGCCATTTGAAGTAACACCACATTTTTAGTCCTCGTTCGAACATAGTCCGAAAGGGGACTTATGTTTTGCCCTGTGTGCATCCGTGCATCCAATATCACCTGTATCTCGAACATGCATGGACCGATTAAGTTCAAACTTCACTCATACATCACACATTATGGGACATATGCACATGCATTTTTTTCATGATCTGATTAACGATAGCCAAATAGCGGCCATTTTAAGACCAAAAATGCATCAAAATCACACATTTTCACCATTCCGGACCAGGATCTCAGTTATGCATGGACGGATTTTGTTCAAATTTGGTACATACATTAAACATAATAGGACCTTGATGCACGTCATTTTTTTTTTTGGATCAAGTTCCAGTCGGCCATTTCGTTTTAAAGAATTCAGTTCTGGATCCGTATCTGAGACATGTCTGGGTTGATCAAGTTCAAACTTCACACACACATGGTACATCATGTCACAAATAGATATGTGCATTTGTTTCATGATCCGCTTAACAATAGCTGAATGATGGCCATTTTAAGGCTGAAAATGCATCAAAATCACGTATTTTCACAATTCCGGAACCTGATCTCAGTCATGCATGGATGGATTTTGTTCAGATTAAGTACAATGTGTTGTACATATGCAGGTGCATTTCGGATCAGACCACTGAAAGTGGTCTGAGATTTCGGTCATGATCTGCTTTGAATGTATATGTCACTCAAATATGAACGGAACGGGGACATGTCACTAAACTCTAAACTGGGACTATGTCATTTTTTTTAAATAAACTTTAATTTGATATCATTACAAACTCATTGCATCTTTTGAGTAATTTCTATTCATTCTGTAATTCTTGTATTGCTGCAATAAAAAAACAGTACAACCACATGATTATTTCTTCTCTGCATACATGCATAAAATGATGATGTGAATATCACGACTGTTACCATACCATATCACAAATATAGAAATATACGTATACAACTATTTCCATACTTGACTATAACTTATCTATCGTATTAAAAATACTGTAGAATGAAAAAATTTTGCTTTTATTGTTAAAAAATGTATTTACAGTCAATACATTTTTTTTTTAACAAATAGTAGTTACAAACTTGTCTGAAATCTGACACCTCAGCGTGACAAGACCGTAAAATTTATAAAACCAAATTCATGATGTTTTCCTTCTGAATGTTATACTAGTAACACAAGACTAGTGAATGAAAATGTTATGTATTTATGTGAATTCTGGTTTTGAAAAAGAGGACATATTTTATGTGGCTGTCATCTTGTTCCACATGTTTGAAGTACCTTCAGTCGATCTGTATTCACGGCGATTTTCAATAGACTGCAAGGCTTCAACTAACCATTGAGCATGAAATGGTTTTAATTCCAAAAAACAAAAATTGACTTTGACATCGGAAATATCAGATCTCGTCAGCAGATCCCATCAGAGGTTGCAGCCGATCAGTACAACAGGCCTGAACAAACACAGTGGCGATGTTGTTGTCGTGTATTTTTTTTTTTAAATCTTCACTTTAATCAATGTGCTCTGAATACATAAAATATTGCCTGGGCTTTTTGTTTTTTGGGTAACCCCAGCTACTGGCGTGTCAATGTCACATACGGTACGAAAACAGTGTCTAAAAACCGATTCATTTTTTTCCATATTTTTTACTTGGTAAAATGGCTGCTGCGCTGAGTGTAAACTGTAGTAATAATAGCAATAATCCACGGACACGTGTGTTGGCTATTGGAAGTGTTAACACTTGTTTTAAATGTGTGAATTAGTAACAGACATTGAATAATAAATGCTATTTGTTCTTATTTGTCAAGATTCTGTTTCAAATTTATTGACAAACACATATAAATGATAGGTCAAAGTTGAAATAATTCTTCTGCTAAAAGAACACAAATAATAAAATGCGCGAATTAGACGAAATTTGCTTTCACATGAAAATTTCCTTGCGTGATAATTTCCCGTCCTACAGTATCTAACAAGTTTTATAATACACAGTGAAATTCTTAAGATTTAACTTTGATGTCATTCTCAAATGTATATTTGTTTTCATTTTTTATAAAGGTGGAAAATATGTGCCTCGTGCTATTCTAGTGGATTTGGAGCCTGGAACCATGGATTCGGTTAGATCTGGACCATTCGGCCAAATTTTCCGACCTGATAATTTTGTTTTTGGTAAGTACCAGTATTCTTTAAATCAAAGGGCATTTGTGATCGAGCTAAATGTGTCTTTTTCATACCTTAGTCAGTGCATTATATTACATTGTCTGGAGCTTTTTATAATAAGTGTCGGTATAAGATGTATTTAGTTCCCGTTTGATCGAAGTTCGAAAATTAACTTAATTCCATCAGCGTTCATCTGAAGTCATATTTCAGAACCCTGTGAACCAAATCGGTCATTCTTTGCATGTGCCTAGTACTTTTTCTGGGACATGTGCACATGTAGTGGTCTACTGATTCAATCCAAGACGACTGACTGGCAGCCATTCTGTTTTCTGAAAATGTATCTTATGCATGCTTATGTATGTCAGTTTTTATTCAAATTTGAATAGAATAGAATAATGCTTTATTACATCTTTAATGAAATCTGACATTTCAGTTTTGGTAATTGCTGTATTAAAGCTTTTTTTAAAATAAACTACATTTAAACTACATTGACATGGATTTTTCTTTTCAAATTATACATGTTAGAATACATGTCCATTACAATTGGTTTCACAAAGATGGTTGACTGCCTGAAATCCTGCTTTTTGACCATACTGCTATATCTCAGTACATGCGCCTGGACAAAGAACACTCAGTTTAGATACAAAAAATGCATGAATAGCCTATTCTGTTAAATTTCTGACAATATATTTTGATTTAATTTGGAAGAGTAATTTACTCCATCTAATTTCTGTTGATACTACCGTAACCCAGTCAATTATTCACTCTCAATTACTACCGGTAATTATGATTTTAGTCCATATTACTTTATTTGCAAATATTGATCATTTTTGAATTCATGTAAAAGTATTATTTCATAAAAAATAAATAGTATTTGTTTTGACACAATTGAATTTTTACAAATTTTACAAATAATGACAGCTTTAAATTATCTTTTCTACTCTGACTGAATGTGTAATTGCACTGCATACATCTGCAATTTTTATGACATAAACAAATTTTAATCACGACCTAATTATTTTCTGCTTTTTACAGGTCAAAGTGGTGCTGGTAACAACTGGGCTAAAGGTCACTACACAGAAGGTGCTGAGTTAGTTGATTCAGTCCTTGATGTTGTCCGCAAGGAGGCAGAAAGCTGTGACTGTCTGCAGGGATTCCAACTTACACACTCCCTTGGTGGTGGTACTGGTTCTGGTATGGGCACTCTTCTCATAAGCAAGATCCGTGAAGAATACCCAGATCGCATCATGAACACATTCAGTGTTGTACCATCACCAAAAGTATCGGACACTGTTGTTGAACCATACAATGCCACCCTTTCCATTCACCAGTTGGTTGAAAATACAGATGAAACCTATTGCATTGACAATGAAGCCCTCTATGACATTTGTTTCCGGACCTTGAAACTTACAACTCCTACTTATGGTGACTTGAACCATTTGGTATCTGCAACTATGAGTGGCGTTACTACTTGTCTGCGATTCCCTGGTCAGTTGAACGCTGATCTTCGTAAATTGGCTGTCAACATGGTACCATTCCCACGTCTCCACTTCTTTATGCCTGGTTTTGCTCCATTGACCAGCCGTGGTAGCCAACAATATCGTTCCCTTACTGTGCCTGAATTAACCCAACAAATGTTTGATGCCAAGAACATGATGGCCGCCTGTGATCCACGTCATGGTCGTTATCTGACAGTGGCTGCAATCTTCCGTGGTCGTATGTCTATGAAAGAAGTTGATGAACAGATGTTGAATGTCCAGAACAAAAACAGCAGCTACTTCGTTGAGTGGATTCCCAACAACGTGAAGACTGCTGTTTGTGATATTCCACCCCGTGGTCTTAAGATGTCCGCTACCTTCATTGGTAACAGCACTGCCATCCAAGAGCTTTTCAAGCGTATCTCTGAACAGTTTACTGCTATGTTCCGTCGTAAAGCTTTCTTGCATTGGTACACTGGTGAAGGTATGGATGAGATGGAATTTACTGAAGCTGAGTCCAACATGAATGACTTGGTGTCTGAATACCAACAGTACCAGGATGCAACAGCTGAAGAGGAGGGTGAATTTGACGAGGAGGAGGAAGGAGAAGATGAGGCTGAATGAGGCACTATTTTGACCCGCATATAGTTTTGTGAATCCCAAATTTTTGTAACACAGAAATAAATGTGGAGCTATTGGGCATTAGATTATTTTATTGCATGTTATGAATGTTAGACTCTAATCTTCATGTTATCTCTAAATATTATTGCGAGTCTGGCATAAAAAATATTCTCAAAGAGTCAATAGCTGTCTCAAAATCATATGAAACCTGTCATAATGATTTAAACCTGTCAAATATAAGCAGAAATAAATTCTTTGGGAGGCTTGTGTTGCAAAACAGAGCAATTAATAATCGAATAGTATTATATTACCTTTTTTATTTTATGCTAAATCAGGTGACCTGGACCACACAAAAGTGCAGTCATCGCGAATGCATTGATTTTGTTTTTAAACTAGTACTAATTAATAATAATTTGAATCGTTTTCATTTCTAGTCTGAATACATGCTTCAAAGGAACTTTGTGTGGCACAACTTTAAATTTAAGCATGCATAATTTAGGGCCGGCCCTAAACTGAGAACTCAGTCACAGTACTCAACATAGAATATATACATGTATAAGGGGGAAAAAAATATATTGAATCCCGAAAAGTGTAATTATCCCAAAATTAGTTTGCGACAGCCATTGCCTCTTTAATAACTGCAGCACCCAAACTACAAAGGTACTTCTTTTAACCATTGATGATCGATTAACATCTGACAAATATTAAGTAAGCTTAATGTTGTCAGTGTTCAATGCATGCTATTGCACAAAGATCACAAAAGCAATAAATAAATAAATAAATAAATAAATAAATAAATAAATAAATAAATAAATAAATAAAGTAAAAAAAAATTGAATTCAAGGATTTATTTTTGGTGTATGTGTACAAGTTGTTTGGATCTGAATCACTGTCGAGTATATTGTTTCATGGTGTAGTTGTTAATGGCTGGTGTAGTTAAGTGTCATACATTTCCCGAACTGCCATACCTTTTTTTCGTGTTTTTGAATTGATAATGTGAATAAATTGTGACAAAATAGGGTGAATGTGATAATTTTGGAGACTGAGAAAGCAAAAAGTTGTTCTCTGTGGCGTAAAACAGCCTGCTTCATGATGTTCTAATCACTATTATTTTATTAAAACAAAAAAAAATATGAAATGGTTGACTGTATGCAAGTTATAACTTGACATAACATGGAGCTCTTTTTTCAGCTCTGTGAAAGAGCAGAGTTTAAATAAAAAATTTGAATGAAATACAGGTTACAAAGACCAGATTAACGTTCAAAACAGGCTTGATATATGCAATGATTTCTCTGCAGGTTACATTTTTTTTTATCACTTTTTTAGATAATAGAAAGTACATCGTGGGATGCACATCGCACCTTCATGCTACGGTGAAAGTGTTATAATACTGCCAAAGTGTCACTGGTAGCATAGTGGTTGTTGAATCAGACTCGTGATCGGTAGACCCAAGTTCAAATCCTACCTTAGGCTGAACATCAAAAGCGTCGACCCCTACCCTGGGTAGTGTGCCAGACTCAATGAGAAGGTCAATTCTACTGGCTGAGATTCATTCACTAATGAATGCGACTTTGGGGGAACCTTGGTTAAGGTCCGCAGGTGCTTGTGTTTGACCGAGCCTGGTTGACACCAGGATAGCACATTAAAATTCCATTTGATAGGGAGATGGCCACACAGCCCTGTCATGTAGTCCCAAACATGAATATGACTTCTGTGGCAAAATGCACTATGTGTCAGCACTTGCTATTTGCACTTACAAAAAAAAAAAGTCAGGAGAGACAACAGTGACATTCAATGTCCGGAACTGTCGCCTGGCACAAAAAAATAAATAAAAATACACTATCCACTAAAATACAACCTTTTTAAATTCAATATCCTTATATTACCTGTAAGAACAATTTATTGCAAAAATTCTAGGTACATACCGGTATTTTACATTCATGAGTAGGCTTCTACTTTGAAATGGCAATGGCAAGTGAGCAGCAGGGAGTTTTATGACTGACAATAAAATGTGGCACCAGTAATCAAAATTTATGTACTCTTTGTTTGCATTGAGCACCTTCCTCTTATATTTTTTTATACTTGTGCCTTAAAGTCGCTTCCTTTTAAAGCAGGGGAGTCATCACCTGCACATGTGTCAGATGGCCATAGCATGTCATTGTTTACAAAAAAAAGGTTACCCATGAACCTTTGCATTTTTAGCGTGTGTTGTCGCTTGAACTCAATTCGCACACATGCGCAGGCAGACAATATTTGTTGCCAATGTGCCAAGCAAATTTAGACCTAGGTTACCTAGTACTTGAGCATGATCTGGACGCGTGTAGCCGGGAATTAACAGCCACTGGTGGCGCTGTATACAATCAAAACCTATTTAGGCTTGTCAACACTCGCGCCAGCTAACAGTGTAAAGAGCGAAGACACTGATTAAATTCAGTGACCAGTTTAGTATGCTAGAAAGTGTGTACAGTCTTCAAATAACCACAATAGACAGAGAGAGGGTTAAGACTGAATATACGTGATTCCGTCGTTTCATAATACAAATGCTGTCTATTAATGATTCTATTAAAATAATATGAGATACATGTATGTCTATGTCATAATCTCGTTAAAAGTTATTAGCATATTGTGTATGCAGTGCGCATGCTTCCGGCCCATTTCTGTATTTCACAACGAATGCCTCATCACAGTGAGGTCAATTGTAACTTACATTTTTACCTTACCTTTACCTTGATGGAAGGGAAAGGTATATTAAGGAAAAATTTTGTCCGGCGTTGTCGTTGTCGTCGTCGTTAATAATTGTTATTGTGTACATA